ACGAGATGCTTTACTACGGTACGAAGAATGTGAGATACTATACTACGGTACGATACGAAGAATGTGAGATGCTATACTACGGTACGAAGAATGTGAGATGCTATACTACATTACGAAGAATGTGAGATGCTATACTACGATACGAGGAATGTGAGCTACTACATTACTATACTACGGTACGAAGAATGTGAGATACTATACTACGGTACGAAGAATGAGATACTATACTACGGTACGAAGAATGTGAGATGCTATATACGAAGAATGTGAGATACTATACTACGGTACGAAGAATGTGAGATACTATACTACGGTACGAAGAATGTGAGATGCTATACTACGTGAGATACGAAGAATGTGAGATACTATACTACGGTACGAAGAATGTGAGATACTATACTACGGTACGAAGAATGTGAGATACTATACTATACTACGGTACGAAGAATGTCAGATACTATACTATGGTACGAAGAATGTGAGATACTATACTACGGTACGAAGAATGAGAGATACTATACTACGGTACGAGGAATGTGAGGTGCTATACTACGGTACGAAGAATGTGAGATACTATACTACGGTACGAAGAATGTGAGATACTATACTACATACGAAGAATGTGAGATACTATACTACGGTACGAAGAATGTGAGATACTATACTACACGGTACGAAGAATGTGAGATACTATACTACGAAGAATGTACGAAGAATGTGAGATGCTATACTACATTACGAAGAATGTGAGATACTATACTACATTACGAAGAATGTGAGATACTATACTACGGTACGAAGAATGTGAGATACTATACTACGGTACGAAGAATGTGAGATACTATACTACGGTACGAAGAATGTGAGATGCTATACTACGGTACGAAGAATGTGAGGTGCTATACTACGAAGAATGTGAGGGTGATATATTACGAAGAATGTGAGATGCTATACTACGGTACGAAGAATGTGAGGTGCTATACTACGGTACGAAGAATGTGAGGATGCTATACTACGGTACGAAGAATGTGAGGTGCTATACTACGGTACGAAGAATGTGAGATGCTATACTACGGTACGAAGAATGTGAGGTGCTATACTACGGTACGAAGAATGTGAGGTGCTATACTACATTACGAGGAAGAATAAGTTTTGAAGAACGTGAGGTGCTAAGAATGTGAGAATGTGAGGATATACTACGGTACGAAGAATGTGAGGTGCTATACTACGGTACGAAGAATGTGAGGATGCTATACTACATTACGAAGAATGTGAGGTGCTATACTACGGTACGAAGAATGTGAGATGCTATACTACATTACGAAGAATGTGAGATGCTATACTACGGTACGAAGAATGTGAGGTGCTATACTACGGTACGGTACGAAGAATGAGATGCTAGACTACATTGAAGGAGGTGCTATACTACATGGTACAAAGAATGTGAGGTGCTATACTACGAAGAATGTGAGATGCTATACTACGGTACGAAGAATGTACGAAGAATGAATGAGGTGCTATATACTACGGTACGAAGAATGTGAGGTGCTAGACTACGGTACGAAGAATGTGAGGTGCTATACTACGGTACGAAGAATGTGAGGTGCTATACTACGGTACGAAGAATGTGAGGTGCTAGACTACGGTACGAAGAATGTGAGGTGCTATACTACGGTACGAAGAATGTGAGGTGCTAGACTAAGTTTTGAAGAACGTGAGGTGCTATTCTACATTACTAAGAATGTGAGATACTATACTACGGTACGAAGAATGTGAGATACTATACTACATTACGAAGAATTCGAGATACGATACTACGGTACGAAGAATGTCAGATACTTTACTACGATACGAAGAATGTGAGATACTATACTACATTACGAAGAATGTGAGATACTATACTACGGTACGAAGAATGTGAGGTGCTATACTACGGTACGAAGAATGTGAGGTGCTATACTATGGTACGAAGAATGTGAGGTACTGTCTTATGGTACAAGGAATGCGATGTGCAATACATGGAATGTGACGAGCTATACTACTGGATAGAAAGCGATTAAAGCTGCAGTATTGACCAGAGAATGCTTACATCACATGATGTAACATGAAAATTACAATTAACTGGATACACAGGCTTGATGTACAATGTTATGTAAGCTTAGAGAAAAGAAGGAACTTATTTAAACAAATCATATCAATATCCCCGCGTCTCTCTCCCATGTTGCATAAGGAAATAGTTGAAACAGTCAGCAGTACGTGGTAAATAGATAACGAACGTTGAGCTGTATGGCTGGGAGAGAGCCACATGTTATGTGGGAAAACCCGGAAGCAGTGTACGAATGTACTTCCGGGTTCGGGTCACATGTTTCTGATCCCGGACAAATGGCCTGGCGGGTTAGAGATGAGTCCCATTGTGAGTTCAAATACCAAGCATGAGGCAACTGGGTTTTCATAATACCGATTTAAAATTTCTCGTGTGATTGGCAGTTGTTCAGTGATAGTTCAGTGATAATGTTTCCAAGGTTATTATTTCATTTTGGTGTAAATAATATGTGTTGAGGCGAGGCTTACCTACACATTATACAATACATGTACACTCAAACTGATATATATTATCAATACAAGTATCTGAGTGATTTTACTTCCCATCTCGGAATAATCTACTTGGTTTCTTGTGACTCACATCAGCTAACATAAATACGAAATAGCATAAGCTCGGATATAAACGTAATAACATCAGCTGGTGTAAACAAGTAATAGTATCAGCTGGGATAATACAGTAAGCTAGGATATATTAGTAGTAGTATATCCGAGAAGATCCGGGTCAGACTTGATCTTCATCAGGGTATGATTGTCGTGTGAGAAGACTGTCAGGATATGGTGATCAGGCTCGGCTGACTTGTATGACACATGTCATCGTGTTCCATTTGCGGGGATCAATGGTCATCACTGGAGTGTCTGGTCTAGACTCGATTAATTACAGACTGGCGTCATATAATTGAAATATTGCTGAACGTCCTTACACCAAAAAAGCATATTAGCATCAGTATCTATCCGCTTGTATATATAGGTAATAACATCAGGTGGTACAATCAGTTGCCCTACGTCCTCTGCTGTCGAGTTTTTCTGACGCACATTTTCAGAAACATCAATACGCTGTACACGTAGCGTAGCTTGCTCTTTTTATACATAACGAAATCTCCTAACACTTGAATCAGAGGCTGTCACACCGGAACACTGTATGCTCAATGCAACTATAACACATGACGTCTCTAGCCAAGACCGGGAACGTATATGAATGTGTATGTAGAGACGTATATGAATGCGTATGTAGAGACGTATATGAATGCGTATGTAGAGACGTATATGAATGCGTATGTAGAGACGTATATGAATGCGTATGTAGAGACGTATATGAATGCGTATGTAGAGACGTATATGAATACGTATGTAGAGACGTATATGAATGCGTATGTAGAGACGTATATGAATGCGTATGTAGAGTATATGAATATATGTAGATGTATATATGTGGAGACGTATATGGATGCGTATGTTGAGACGTATATGGATGCGTATGTAGAGACGTATATGGATGCGTATGTAGAGACGTATATGAATACGTATGTAGATACGTATATGAATGCGTATGTAGAGACGTATATGAATGTGTATGTAGAGACGTATATGAATGTAGAGACGTATGTAGAGACGTATATGAATATGTATGTGTATGTAGAGACGTATATGAATGTGTATGTAGAGACGTATATGAATGTGTATGTGGAGACGTATATGGATGCGTATGTTGAGACGTATATGGATGCGTATGTAGAGACGTATATGGATGCGTATGTAGAGACGTATATGAATACGTATGTAGATACGTATATGAATGCGTATGTAGAGACGTATATGAATGCGTATGTAGAGACGTATATGAATGCGTATGTAGAGACGTATATGAATGCGTATGTAGAGACGTATATGAATGCGTATGTAGAGACGTATATGAATGTGTATGTAGAGACGTATATGAATGTGTATGAGAGACGTATATAGTATGTAGAGACGTTATATGCCGTATGTAGAGACGTATATGGATCCAGACGTATATATACGTATGGATGAATGTATGTAGACACGTATATGAATGCGTATGTGGAGACTTCACACGTATATATGAATGCGTATGTAGACCCGGGTATAGAGATCGGCGTGACGAGCCAACGTTATATGAATGTAATGCGTATGTAGAGACGTATATGAATGCGTATGTAGAGACGTATATGAATGTATGTAGAGACGTATATGAATGTGTATGTAGAGACGTATATGAATGCGTATGTAGAGACGTATATGGATGCATATGTAGAGACGTTTGGATGCGTATGTAGAGACGTTTATAGATACGTATGTAGAGACTTTTGGATGCTTATGTAAATGTGTATATGGATGCGTATGTAGAGACGTATATTGATGCGTTTATGGAGACGTATATGGATGACGTTTGTAGAGACGTTTGGATGCGTTTGTAGAGACGTTTGGATGCGGTATGTATAGGCGTATATGGATGCGTATGTAGAGACGTATATGGATGCGTTTATGGAGATGTATATGGATGCGTATGTAGAGACGTTTGGATGTGTATGTAGAGACGTATATGGATGCGTTTGTAGAGACGTATATGGATGCGTTTCCGGAGACGTATATGGATGCGTATGTAGAGACGTTTGGATGCGTATGTAGAGACGTATATGGATGCGTATGTAGAGACATTATAATGCACACGTAGTGACGGAGATGTAAAACGCTGTTTGATAACGGTGTATTGTATTAAGCCCGTGATCTCTTTACGTCTCAGTAAGGGTATAGATAGGCATTTTGGATTGGACCATCTATTTGTAAAATCAAGAAAATGAGTTGATAGTTTCGGGACAAACGCAGTTGAACTAAATCCAACACTTGCTCCATAAAAAACATGAGAAATAATGATACAATTCAAGGCTGAACAAATTTATTCATCTAATAAAGCGTCTGTAGTTTAACAGCCAGAACGGGCACCGATCCAGTCAGCATAGCTGGACACCTTGGCGTAGACACCTGGATAGCCATCCAGACCACAGTCTGTACCGTAGGACACCACACCTGTCAGAACCTGTTGGCCGTTCTCCTGGCAGTACAACGGACCGCCAGAATCACCCTGAAGAAGAACCGTGTCCCAGTTACTCAACAGTTACCTCCACGGAGGAGTTCCAGCAACAAGACATGCAGAGCATCGTTTCTATCTATAAGACAACTTTCAATACGCCAGCGCATCCGCTCGTGACGTCAAATGTGCCTGGAGTCCTCCATATTGCCAAAGAACAAGCGCTACAGTAGTACAAATCGTGTTGTTTCTGTCGTTTTTGTAAATGATACGATGTTGTATTCTGTTGCCGGGGGATGCACGGAATCATCGAACAACGGAAAGCCACCATTTCTTCCGTTTTCCAAGTAAAGAGGCAGGAGAAATGGTCCGATCATTCCGAGTCGGACGCATATGAAAGAGTCAAGCACACATGGGGCATACAAATCCCAAAGCTAGGCTGAAGAAGGAACAATTACCCACGAGAATAATTTATACTCCATCATTCCCTGTTACAGCTTACTGTCAGTGGTATTTTTAATATAAATTAAATCAAGTACGATTGCCAGTCGAATTGCCCCCACTGCAAATTGCCCCAGCAAATTTTGGTCAAATTGCCCCAGGTGGGTAGTTAAAATGCCCCAATTTATTTAAAATGATTAAACATAGGCCATAAATGCATAGTTTTGTCAACTTTGATATTATGTTCTTCATATAAAAGTATATATATAGTTATGAGTTTACTGATGGAACATTTATCAGAAATATTACTTTTTAATAACTTTTATATGAAGAACATAATATCAAAGTTGACAAAAACTATGCATTTACGGCATATATTTAATCATTTTAAATAAATTTGACCAAATTAGAATGAATGACCTCATTTGCTGGGGCATTTTGTAGCTGGGGCAGTTCCACTGGTACCCATGAGATAGGTTTATTTTGTTTTTATTGCTATTTCACAAACTTTTTGTTCAATATATAATCACGGAAGGTGACTTTTAGAATATCCTTTACAATATATCAAAAGTTTTGTTTTCGTTCGGATTCTCCTTTAGGTACATTTACAGTACAGAGCTTCATCAGTATTACATCAACACCGCGTGCGCTGCTGAATGCTGTGTGGGCAACATGGTTTAAGTGAGCGAGTGAGTGAGTATGGTTTTACGCCGCTTTTATCAATATTCCAGCAATATCACAAGAAATGGACTCCACACATTGTACCAGCGTGGAAATCAAACCCGTGTCTTCGGCGTGACGAGCGGACGCGTTAACCGTTAGGCTACCTCACCGCCCCTAACCATGGTTAAAGCTAAACTATCAGAGGTAAATGTAATAATAGGAAAGTTGAAAGCTTCCTTGATGTTGACAGCGTCTGCGGTGTGTCTACTGACCTGGCAGGAATCCTTGCCCGCTTGACCAGCACAGACCTGGTTGTTGGGGTCGGTCATCTGGACGAGGATGTTTGAGTCTGCGTCGCACGTGATGCCGTCGAAAGTTGGAACCGACACTTCTTGCAGGAGGTAGTCATCTGGCTGCTGGCCACCTGGCGGACGTAAGTAAAAGTCATAGTGTGAAGTCCCCAACTGACATCATTCACCTGATGAAGGAGTAAGGATATACTCCGACACGTTGTGTTCCCCATAATAAAGAAGTTGACATCATTCACCTGATGAAGGAGTAAGTATATACTCCGACACGTTGTGTTCCCCATAATAAAGAAGTTGACATCATTCACCTGATGAAGGAGTAAGGATATACTCCGACACGTTGTGTTCCCCATAATAAAGAAGTTGACATCATTCACCTGATGAAGGAGTAAGGATATACTCCGACACGTTGTGTTCCCCATAATAAAGAAGTTGACATCATTCACCTGATGAAGGAGTAAGGATATACTCCGACACGTTGTGTTCCCCATAATAAAGAAGTTGACATCATTCACCTGATGAAGGAGTAAGTATATACTCCGACACGTTGTGTTCCCCATAATAAAGAAGTTGACATCATTCACCTGATGAAGGAGTAAGTATATACTCCGACACGTTGTGTTCCCCATAATAAAGAAGTTGACATCATTCATACTCCGACAATAATAAAGAAGTTGACATCATTCACCTGATGAAGGAGGAGTAAGTTGTGTTCCTCATAATATACTCCGACACGTTGTGTTCCCCATAATAATAAAGAAGGTGACATCATTCACCTGATGAAGGAGTAAGGATATACTCCGACACGTTGTGTTCCCCATAATAAAGAAGTTGACATCATTCACCTGATGAAGGAGTAAGGATATACTCCGACACGTTGTGTTCCCCATAATAAAGAAGGTGACATGTCTGAACATAATGACACTATTGGTAGGAAATATTTTGAAATTATATCTTGATTGGACCACGAATGTTACCTGTAGTTTATGCCCTGTAGTGATTCATAAACACATGCTCTGTCATCGTAACGCATGGTGACAATCACTGGATTGTCTGGTTCAGACTAGATTTGTTTACAAACAACATCATACAGCTGTAATACTGCTGAAACAAATATCTGCTGATGATATAGTCACAACTGTACACAATCGACTCTGCCTTTGACAGAGATTTCTTATGGATGTGGAAAGGGTTTTGTCGCTTCTCATGGACAGTGATTAACTCATGTAGTTTGAATGTCGCAGGTTTCATCGACTGCTTTTTACCTGTGGTTTGAGTGTTGTAGTTCTCATGCATCTGGACGCTGTTGACGGTAAGCTGGGTGGTTGATCCTATTGTTGTGTGGTCGCCCACGTTCACTTGGATTTCATCAGCAGTTCGGCCACTACACAAGGACGGTACGATATGTGTTAAGGCGGTGCTTCCCTTGTAACGAACTAATAATGGCTGCCAAACTGAACAACTTAGAGGTGTATGCATATCAATCTAATGAAATACGTTTCAACACACGCAAATACAAGTCAACTGTTCCCCCGAATAACCAGGGAAACATATGGTACAAGTCAATCTACATGTGGACATCATGTTATACATATGGAACAACACAGGACATCATGTTATACATATGGAACAACAAAGGACATCATGTTTGTCACAGAATGTATTGGATGATTAGGTCTCCGCTTTCACTAACATCCATGTTATACATATGGAACAACATAGGACATCATGTTTGTCACAGAATGTATTGGATGATTAGGTCTCCGCTTTCACTAACATCCATGTTATACATATGGAACAACATAGGACATCATGTTTGTCACAGAATGTATTGGATGATTAGGTCTCCGCTTTCACTAACATCCATGTTATACATGTGGAACAACATAGGACATCATGTTTATCACAGAATGTATTGGATGATTAGGTCTCCGCTTTCACTAACATCCATGTTATACATATGGAACAACAAAGGACATCATGTTTGTCACAGAATGTATTGGATGATGAGGTCCCCGCTTTCACTAACATCCATGTTATACATATGGAACAACATAGGACATCATGTTTGTCACAGAATGTATTGGATGATTAGGTCTCCGCTTTCACTAACATCCATGTTATACATATGGAACAACATAGGACATCATGTTTGTCATATGGAACAACATAGGACATCATGTTTGTCACAGAATGTATTGGATGATGAGGTCTCCGCTTTCACTAACATCCATGTTATACATATGGAACAACATAGGACATCATGTTTGTCACAGAATGTATTGGATGATGAGGTCCCCGCTTTCACTAACATCCATGTTATACATGTGGAACAACATAGGACATCATGTTTGTCATATGGAACAACATAGGACATCATGTTTGTCACTGAATGTATCATCATCATCATATATACATTTGTATAGCGCCGATATCCAGCTCCGCTCAGCTGCTCAAAGGCGCTTTGTTTTTCCCACGTTCACTGGATGTCAATCTCAACGGCACATCGTATTGTCAATCTCAACTCCCTGGGGAGCATACAAACTCTTGCAGCCACTAGGCTGGATGAAGGATGTATTGGATGAAGAGGTCTCCGCTTTCACTAACATCCCTTTTATACATGTGGAACAACATAGGACATCATGTTTGTCACAGAATGTATTGGATGAATAGGTCTCCGCTTTCACTAACAGCCATGTTATACATATGGAACCATGTTATTGCCAATATGTGATTCTGCTGTTTTCCAATGCTACTGTCTCAGGCCGCTGAAGTCTACAACGTATGGAAGCAAAATATCAGTCCACTGAATCCGACATGAATGTCGATATTCTTAGTGAACTCAAGAACGAGGATGTACTGGCTGAACACTGTGGACAGAAGTCGAATGTGGATGTACTGACTTAACACATGGATAAGTAGAATGTGGATGTACTGACTTAACACACGGATAAGTAGAATGTGGATGTACTGCATTAACACACGGGTAAGTAGGATGTGGATGTACTGACTTAACACACGGATAAGTAGAATGTGGCTTTCTTACAAACCAAAACAGACAGTAGGACGTGGATGTGCTGACAGACCAACGAGGGGAGTGGAAGGTATGCGGACTGACAGACCAACGAGGGGAGTGGAAGGTAGGCGGACTGACAGAACAACGAGGGGGGTGGAAGGTAGGCGGACTGGCAGAACAACGAGGGGAGTGGAAGGTAGGCGGACTGACAGACCAACGAAGGGAGTGGAAGGTAGGCGGACTGACAGAACAACGAGGGGGGTGGAAGGTAGGCGGACTGACAGACCAACGAGTGGGGTGGAAGGTAGGCGGACTGACAGAACAACGAGGGTGGTGGAAGGTAGGCGGACTGACAGAACAACGAGTGGGGTGGAAGGTAAGCGGACTGACAGACCAACGAGGGGAGTGCAAGGTAGGCGGACTGACAGAACAACGAGTGGGGTGGAAGGTAGGCGGACTGACAGAACAACGAGGGGAGTGGAAGGTAGGCGGACTGACAGACCAACGAAGGGAGTGGAAGGTAGGCGGACTGACAGAACAACGAGGGGGGTGGAAGGTAGGCGGACTGACAGAACAACGAGTGGGGTGGAAGGTAGGCGGACTGACAGACCAACGAGTGGGGTGGAAGGTAGGCGGACTGACAGAACAACGAGGGTGGTGGAAGGTAGGCGGACTGACAGAACAAGTGGGTTGGGAAGGTAGGCGGACTGACAGAACAACGAGGGGAGTGGAAGGTAGGCGGACTGACAGACCAACGAAGGGAGTGGAAGGTAGGCGGACTGACAGAACAACGAGGGGGGTGGAAGGTAGGCGGACTGACAGAACAACGAGTGGGGTGGAAGGTAGGCGGACTGACAGAACAACGAGGGTGGTGGAAGGTAGGCGGACTGACAGAACAACGAGTGGGGTGGAAGGTAAGCGGACTGACAGAACAACGAGGGGAGTGGAAGGTAGGTGGACTGACAGAACAACGAGGGGAGTGGAAGGTAGGTGGATTGACATAACAACGAGGGGAGTGGAAGGTAGGTGGACTGACAGAACAACGAGGGGAGTGGAAGGTAGGCGGACTTACTCAACACAGTGTGAAGCTGTCAGAATAGTGCAGGAGTCGATGATTGTAGCTCCACACACGGGGTTGATGCTGCCCCCGATGTTGAGGGAGGCGTAGGAATCGTAGGGTCCCTGCTGTGCTGCGATGCCTCCAACAATTCTTGTTGTTGTGGCAACAGCTCGGATCGTGGAAAGATCGTTGCAATCTTGTAAGGAGAAGCAAGAGTTTCTCATCATAAACATTTCAAACTTGTCCTTGTAAATTCTGTTTCTTTGATAAACAACAAACATAGCCCAGTACCGTTTGTTATGAAGTGAGTGAGTGGGTTCAGTTTTAACCCCCTTTTACGATATTCCGCAATATCGGAACTGGGACACCAGTAATGGGCTTCACACATTTTACCCCTATGGAGAATCGAACTCGGGTCTTCGGCGTGACGAGCGAACGCTTTAACCACTAGGCTACCCCCCGCCTGTTGTTAGGAAGCCACTACATGGTAAAACTATATATCATGTATTATACCCAAAGCTTGCTGGCTTGGCTGCTGTCTACTGTTGTATCTATTCAAGACTGATATGAATGTTGTCGGGATCACAGAAGTGGGTAGGTTGCTTAGTAATCTCATCATGTCAGATGTCTTTGGTACGACAATGAATTGGTTAAATAAACTGATGGGACAAAGGTCACAAATCCACCTATTTACAACAACATAAACAAGAAGTAATCTTCCATCACAACTCCACTAATCTCTCAGTGGGGATTGGATGGTCACTGTGGATGCAAAGTATACAGGACTCGTTTGAATGGAAACCAACTGTACATGTCTCATGTTTACATTCTTGGGTAGGTGTTATCGAAATCCAAGGGTTGTTGTTGTTTGACTGTCATTCTGAGGTGCAAATGCCAGAATACTTGTCGCATGAAATTGCTTCATGGACATTGACTCACACACTTACTGAGGGAGGGAGCAGCCGTCGTTGTTGTCGTAGTTGCGGCTGTGGTAGTCGTGGTTGGTGTAGTCGTGGTTGGTGCAGTCGTGGTTGGTGTAGTCGTGGTTGGTGTAGTCGTGGTTGGTGTAGTCGTGGTTGGTGCAGTCGTGGTTGGTGCAGCCGTGGGTAGTGTAGTCGTGGCTGTTGCAGTTGCAGTAGTTGACGTGTTGGCCGCAGGCGTACACTGGTCAGACAAGACGCCGATGAGCTGTTCGAAGCCACATTCTGTGTAGCTGCTAGGCATGTTTTTAAGCTGATTGCATAACCTCTCCTTACCAGCTGAGGACAGGTCACTGAGTGCTGCAAGTATAAAATGTAGATTATGTAATGAATTGAATTAAATTGTCAGTCGACGCCCAGCGTTGCCACAGACATAGTATCTTAAGAGCTTGGTCCTTTTATTACCGTCTTTGCCATGCCAGTGGGTTTTACTCAGAGGTGAGTGAGTGAGTTTGATTTTACGCCGCTTTTAGCAATATTCTAGCAATATCGCGGCGGGGGACACCGGAAATGGGCTTCATTCGAAACCGGGTCTTCGGCGTGACGAGTGAACGCTTTAACCACTAGACTTCCCTACCGGCCTTTACTCAGAGGTGCATCCATGATAAGACCTAGAACATATTGAGGGCGTCATACACTGACTCCGATGTATCCGGCCCAACAAACCAGACCTTGTTCGCTTTTGATCAAACCAATTAAAACAATAGTTTGAATTCACAGTCCTCTTAGACATTAATGTGATTGACACTGCTTCTGACACTTTGGGTAATGCAGACTGCTACAGTGTTGGGGAGTCTTCACATTGTCTGAAGGTTCTTAGTAGGTGAATCCCAGACAGTGCTTCCCGGGAGAAATCCCGTGTGGTGCTGACCTACGTGTAAAGGGTTTATGGGCCGTGAGCGAAGGATGATCGTAATCTACCTGATGATGCCGGATCTGTCCGAACCATTCATGCATTAAATAATGGCAACATTATATCGATAATGTCAATCACAGTTATGTATTTTTCATAAGTAAGGTGTCGGCATTAACTGAGTGTGCAATTTGTTCGAGAGAACCTTTGGGGGTTGTAGTTGGGGAAATTAGTCGTTCAGGAATTTGTCATCAACAATAAAGCAGGAACTTCTCTCTTACCTTCATCGCGTAAAACACTGAGACTTTGCTTGAATGTAGTCATCAACTGTTGTATAGTTTGTAAGATGTATCTAGAGTTCCACCCATAGGAATTTATTATGTTATGATAAGCGCTGTAACGGGCGCTGATATCGGTTCCTAACATGATGCAGAGAGCGCTGCCAAGAATGTCCTCTGGAAGCTGATTGTAGAGATCCGACGGGAACGGTGTTGCGGTAGGAGGCGGTGTAGGAGGGGCTGTTACATAATAAGGGTAGTTGCCGTGGTTGTTGTAGTGGTGGTCATCGTCGTAGTAGTAGCTGTCGTTCAACAAAGTGAACAAATATCATTTCAGGTTTTGATTTAAGAAATTTGATTTAACTGGCACCAGCGGCATGTTGAAATGGAATTCATTGCCCAACACAAGACCAGGCTGAACCCTGATCTATACATTTACCAAAGTTCAAACACAGGTGCATACACTTTATCTAAATACCTAAACTGACAGATTATGCCACACACAAAGTCTTTAGCATGCATTTAGTTCATGTCGACATCACGCACACATCACGCGCGCACGCACACACACACACACATGTAAATACGCAGGATAGCAAGCATACAATAAGAGATAACTTGAAATTCTTCACCTTATGTTTAGGGGGAACCTGACATGCCTTAGAGTTTTTCTGTTTTTCTGAAGACTCCATGATACATTTAATCAAATACGAAAATATATGTTCTGTCTAAGGCGATCAAACAGGTTCCATGTATAATGATAGAGAGACACACTTACGGTCGTCTGTATCCTCCACTTCCTGGAAGACGGTAACTTCCCCCCCCGACCTATAGCCACTGTATCGGCCACGGCGACGGCGTCCGCCAGCATGGGCAATAGTCAGGAGGACCAGCAAACACAGCACCAGCAACGACCTCATGATGAAGATGATCAGATCTTCAACCCCTCGGCAATATATAGCCTCTATAATTCCGAACAGGTGCTTGTGACGTCATCATCCAAGGTGGACTTCTTATGGAAACATATTCGAATTGTAGCTCATAAAACGTGGTAGGACTTACACATTGTTTAACAAATACAATCATATGTACATTGGATATATATATGTTCTTTAAAACATGTATTTGTATTATATATATACAGTATATATGCTGACCACACGCGGCAAGGCCTGATATCGATTCAGGGACATGACGCTATGCATCTTCTTGAGAATGTACATGTTGTACTGAGGGACACCATGCTGTCTGTTCACAACGTCACCGGCGTTCTTCTATTGACTTGCATCTGTATCCAAATAGTAACCACCTGTTTCTGTTAGTTGTCTGTTTCAGTACACACGATGCACCTGTTGGATGGCCAGGAAAGGGTGTGGTAGACCAATCGACATGGAACAGCTGGTAAATGGTAATGTGGGCCTGATATCAACAAAAATGTATTCGCCACTTTCATTATACACTTTAATTTGTACATTTGCACTGTACATCTTGAACGATAAAACTCTTTTGAGACAGACAACGAATCCGTCTGGCTGGCCAGGCCGATCAGGCGGACAGCTAACCACATCAAATCAACCTAATGACACATATTTCGATGCGTAAGGTAAAACGACATGTTTGAATCTATCACCTATTGTCAAATTGTGATTAACGCTCATTCTCGATAACAGGGTGCAAATGCTGTCGCCACCATGCTTCTCTTAAAATACCCGTGAAGGTCCGGGTTAGAATATTGATCTTCAGTAACCCATGCTTGTCGTAAGAGGTGACTAACGGGATCGGGTGGTCAGGCTCGCTGACTTGGTTGACGCATGTCATCGGTTCCCAATTGCGCAGATCGATGCTTATGTTGTTGATGACTGGGTTGTCTGGTTACTCGATTATTTACAGACCGCCGCCATATAGCTGGAATATTGCTGAGTGTGGCGTAAAACTAAACTCACTCATTCCCTCTCTTAAACCTTATTAGCGAATGTTATTATCAGTATGGTTGGACAATGGTACCAACCTGGCCAACATCCATCATGAACATGCAGAAACAGTCCAATAACCCCAACAGTATATGTGTTACAGCTACTGTAACAGGTCAATTTGAAATGTTCGTTACCGCCGCCTGTAACAAAACTTTACTTTGCAGTTAAACTTAATGCAGTTCGGTATACAAACTAATATTTGGCAAAAGTTTCATTTTCTGCAAATTGTTAAGCCAGTGCATTCGTTGTTTGATTAATGAATTTGCTCCAATGCCATGTCGCCAGTTTTGAGGAAATGTCCGTGACCAATTTTCAGCTTGACATGTACCTGTGTAGAACAAAGCATAATCTCACCCATTCACTTTGAATGAATACAATTTATGTTTACATTAATGGTACTTGTCATTATTTGAGGCTTAGAATATCTCTCTGCATAACATATCTCAATACACAGAAACTATTCCATGCGTAGAGATGAGAGTGAAATGCCCGTTACCACCGCCACATTAGGGAACTGTGCTCTTTTTGGACACAGTTTGATTTACATTTAGAACCCAAGTATGCCAGATGGAAAAAGAAAGGATATACATGTATTCAAAGCTTGTGTGTGGTTAGTGGTAACTGACTGCTTGATTTGCCAGCGTATGTAACCTCCATTACTGAAATGCTCGGTACCAGAGTATTCGAAACTATATAGCTTGTGAAGTTCTCATATCATGTGACTCCTATCCCATCTGGGAAGTCAGAGGATGTCTACAATCACCAAAGACTTTCAATTGAGAGTTATCCGAAATAAGAGGTAACGATGTAACGAACATTTCATTTCTAAATAAACAATGACAACATCACTCGGAGTTTACAAAGTAATGTCACTCTGTATTTGATAAGACAGACTTACAATTGGGCAATAGAAACATTACCTTAACATCAATAACAACCACAAGGAACATTTCATCCCAGTAACGGGTATTTCTGTCGCTTTGATTGAATTAAAATTGAGCTACAGTCCTATTATTTCCAGAATTTTTGTTGCTCGTCTCATGTTAAATAATTACAGTATCATTATTTGAAATGTATACCCCCAAAAGATTAAATGATAATAAATAGATTTGACAATAGTTTACTTTTCTGCCTTTAAACAATTAAGATTTATGAAGATAATGTCGATTTTTAGTTTGCAAAAAAATAATAGCTCCCAAACATGCTTATTAATCTTTATATGATTGTTTTCAGTTTTCAATATCTTGAAATGTGCCCAGTTTAAATCTATCTGAGAACAAGACAGTGTTTCTGAAGACATGACGTTGCCTGAAATGTTCGTTACTTATATAGTGGTTCATATCTAGTGGTTGGAAACTAATAAACCATGTTTCCTCCTTAAATAGACGACACATGTGGTTTATGACTGAACTTTCAGAAGATTTAAAAGTATATTGTATTTGTCACTTCATGGCATTTTGTTTCATGTGTATCCTGCGTTCCTAAAGTTTGCTTTCACACAGTTTGGTCAATGTTTGCAAGGTCAGTATGTATTATCCTGCACTGTACTTGCTGGGGATTAGTTAGTCTACCTAGCAAGAACACAGTTACAATGTTAAAGAAACATAGACTCCTAGGGTTTGTAATAAGGGCCATGGCTGCTTTCCTGGTGCGTGTTTTTATCGGCTTAGGTGGTTATCCCTTATTATAACGAACATTTCAGTGTGAGGATTCTCTAAGAGTGTACCTATCTTGTTAGCTTGTTATATTTAAAAAACCCTTCAATTCTTGATGAATTCCCGCTGGTTTTAAGCAGCCCAATATGTTACCTTGTTACCTTGGCAACATACATGATTTCAATCATATACAACTTGATATATTTTTCAATACTTTTGTGAGCCATTTGCACCCCGTTATTGAGAGAGTGTAAACGTTTGTTTATCAAGATGTGTTCGCGGCCTGTCGAAACATGTGCGAATATAGCCAAAGAGATACCGGTCATCATGTGACCTATGATCTGACCGAACAACTTTGAGGACCTCCGAAGGTATTTGTTTACAAATATCATTACGTTATTGTCAGTTGTGATTAAAACTATCGATGGTTTTGATTGTTCTTGGTCGAACGGCAAATCAAAGATGTGGTATATGAAAATGTATATACATTTATACACATGTAACTTAATTAATCCCCCCCCCCCCTTCCCCCATGTTATAGAACAGTGACTTAACTGTCAGAACTTTCATACTTCGAGAAGGGCTGATAGTAAATTGAATAATTGACTAAAGAAAAACAACGAAATGTAGTCAATATGTTAATTTATAATTTCAATTGGTGGTTTATCAAAATGAGGCACCACAAACTGACCACGACTGTCCGTGATGTAGCGCTGGCCAGAAGGATGTAACCCTGGTCAACTTAAAGTCATGTCACCCTGGTCAACTTAATGTCATGTCACCCTGATCAGCTTAAAGTCATGCCACCCTGGTCAACTTAAAGTCATGCCACCCTGGTCAACTTAAAGTCATGTCACCCTGGCCAACTTAATGTCATGTCACCCTGGTCAACTTAATGTCATGTCACCCTGGTCAAGTTAATGGCATGCCACCCTGGTCAACTTAATGTCATGCCACCCTGGTCAACTTAATGTCATGTCACCCTGGTCAACTTAATGTCATGTCACCCTGGTCAACTTAAAGTCATGTCACCCTGGTCAACTTAATGTCATGTCACCCTGGTCAACTTAAAGTCATGTCACCCTGGTCAACTTAATGTCATGTCACCCTGGTCAACTTAATGTCATGTCACCCTGATCAACTAAAAGTCATTCCACCCTGGTCAACTTAATGTCATGCCACCCTGGTCAACTTAATGTCATGTCACCCTGGCCAACTTAAAGTCATGTCACCCTGGCCAACTTAATGTCATGTCACCCTGGCCAAGTTAATGTCATGTCACCCTGGTCAACTTAATGTCATGTCACCCTGGTCAACTTGATGTCATGTCACCCTGGTCAACTTAAAGTCATGTCACCCTGGTCAACTTGATGTCATGTCACCCTGGTCAACTTAAAGTCATGTCACCCTGGTCAACTTAATGTCATGTCACCCTGGTCAACTTAATGTCATGTCACCCTGGCCAAGTTAATGTCATGTCACCCTGGTCAACTTAATGTCATGTCACCCTGGTCAACTTAATGTCATGTCACCCTGGTCAACTTAATGTCATGTCACCCTGGTCAACTTGATGTCATGTCACCCTGGTCAACTTAAAGTCATGTCACCCTGGTCAACTTGATGTCATGTCACCCTGGTCAACTTAAAGTCATGTCACCCTGGTCAACTTAATGTCATGTCACCCTGGTCAACTTAATGTCATGTCACCCTGGTCAACTTAATGTCATGTCACCCTTGCCAAGTTAATGTCATGTCACCCTGGTCAACTTAATGTCATGTCACCCTGGTCAACTTAATGTCATGTCACCCTGGTCAACTTAATGTCTTGTCACCCTGGTCAACTTAAACTCATGCCACCCTGGCCAAGTTAATGTCATGGGAGACGCTACGTCTCCATCAAAGGGAACAGTAGGATGACTGTTCCTCCTCCAATCGTAACATGAAGCTGGAACCTGCTTTCGTCTGACTTATAGATCCATCTCCTGGTTCGAAGATTCCAGCGCCAAAGAGCACAACACCACTGCAGACTGCCCTTGACGTTCAGATGTCAGAGATGGACGTGTGACGATCCCTCGGGACATCAGGCCAAAAGCCTTGAGACAGTTTCGCACAACCCTGGTTGACAAACGTCTGTTGGGCATCAAGGATTGTTACAAACAAGTGCACGTAGTCAAGGGTTCACACCTCATGTAACGGGACACATTGCGATCTTAATGCTGGAAGGGCCTTCCTGGGCCCTGATCGATCCTTGACAGCACCTTGGTGTTTCCGGTCTACTGATGACAGAGTTGCGGTAACCAAACTGACGCCCGATGGCCTTGAAGGACATGCCAGCTGCATGTATACACACTACCTGCCATCCCCGCCTCAATGAAAGTCTTCTCCTCGCCATGTTACCGTGTATGGATTATACGGGTTGCATATTCACATTTAAATAACCTTGAACGGTCAGGCACAGATAGAGCTTTTCATGATACGAGTGGGTTGCATGATTTACATGCATGTGGGCTTCGTTCTGGCAAACACTCTCAAACTGAAACATTCTTTTTCATCACCTGAAATGCGCTATTAAACAATGGCATCATTGACACATTATCATCATCATAGATATCACTATGAGGAAATTTATTAGGGGGTGCTTAATTAAGTCCCTTGCGTATATATTTGGAGTTTTACACCTATTTTGTGCATGACATGCAAAATATGCTGAAATTCAAGCACGAAGGATATTGATTGGAATATTAAAGTATGTTGGTATTGTTCCCTGGAATTGTTAATGTTGCGATACAACCAAAACTTCTATAATGGGCAGCAATCTGGGGAATAAATCATATGTTTGTGCATGTGCAAAACACTTACACCTACCTCCCCCTATAGTGATTTAGGCAGATTTCCTATATATTTCACAAGATATTAAAGATGGATTAAGGTTATTACATATGCCTTTAAGTCAACTATCTAAGAAATGCTATATAATATAGCGTAGAGTTGTCATGTTGAAATGTCAAACCAGGCCCACGTTCGAAAAGGCTGTCGGCCATAAGGACCTGCAGAAAACAAACACTGTGGGTCCAAATGGGGTTTCAGTCGGCTCAAGGCCTAAAGACCGACGTTAATTTCGAAAGCTGCACAGATTGTTGTCGCAGTAAACTCGGGAAGGAGACGTGATTATATCTGTAAATCAAAGACAAAGCTTTTTCATATGTGGACGACAATTTGAATTTGTATTTTTGTCTAGGAATCCATACGGTATTAATTCCACTTGTCTCAAATACTTTCTTTGAATAAAAATAACGTATTTGTAATAAGGATTGTGGTTAATCTTTCGGGCAGAGATGGAAAGACAGGTAGCAAATAAGGATTTGTAATAAAATAACGCCACTATTTTTTAATGTTATACATATACTTCAAACAACAACACGTTGCTAGATGCATTGCAAAGAAGATGTTATCCATAACATAAAAAGGTGTATGGTTTGGCATTTAATCGACATTTGCTAGCTATTTGTCTTTTGTTGCTATGAAATAAGTCATATGTTCGCTCACTGATTCAGTAACGTTAAAAGGGTTATAAGTGATCCAGCAGAATCATCTGTTGGATTGGCGTTAAAACAGTTGATGAATGATAATAACAGGATAATAATTTGTGGATAACAACTTCTATATTTTATTATAATGCGACGTTTCGGTATAGCTTCTTATACCGTTGTCAAGCAAGAGTAAAGCAATACAGCACCAAACCGACTTATTACATACACTAAACGCCAAAAGAATGACGAAGGTATCTATGTACAGCTTGCGTTGTGATGCGTGGACGTCCACTTCTTGGTCTGTCTATTGTGACCCCAGTCTCTCTGTTGCCCTGAATAAGTCTTATAACCGTGATACGGTGGCATTCGAGGGCGTTGGCAACAGCATTGTATGTCGACCCCATCTGCACCACCCCAATCGCTCTTTCTCTCCCTTCAGCTGTTAATCGTGGCATATTTCGCGTACTTGTGTATAAGATCATGTCTTCTAGGCTCTCTTTATACCCTTCATACCCTTTATACCATTCTACATGTGAAATGGATGTAAATACATGTACTGCTTGAATATTGCTGCGTTTTGGCGATTGATATTGCTATGTATAAACAGAAAATTGAACTCTTCTGAAAAAGATGCATTTCACCAAAATATGCATGCATTTGAGAAATCTTTTCGTGATTTGCACAAAGCTGTGTTGTTAAGCTTTCTTGTAAACTAAAACCTTCTAAAATATCTTTGATAGTTTTTCAGTAATTCATAAGGGTAGGAGGTTAACGTTTCTCTTTGGCGTGTAGTGTATACTGGGATTAAGTAAGACAATATGAGGAAGTACATCAACGGGATTAACAACAACAACAATGGAATAGGTAATAATACAGTAACAGTAGGAGGAAGCCAATGTTGAGGAGGCGGAACAAGGTACAGATAGCAGATAGGATTAATTAGCAATCATGGATGGAGTGCTCTGTTCTGTTGTTTTTATCAGTTCATTGTAGGCGGATTGAAAGAGGTATCCTTGGTTCCTGTTGATTGAGGGCTTGTGTCGGTGGGTTTGAACAGTTTCTGCCAGTTTTCTTTTGGTGAAGTCCTGGAGGTTTTTTGATAATATTTCAACATTATCCCATTTGGTGTTGTGATTAGAACAGTTCATTATGATAACAGGCGTAAACCTACACATCTTACTCAGGGGTGTTCTTTAATAAAACCTTTGTCATGGGATTATGGTGAGAATCTTTTTTTGCAGAATTTACAATTGCCTTTATTTTATAGGGGGGAAGCAAATGGTCACAAGTTAAGAAATTACCGTCTTTTAAAAACTTTTTAGTACTTCTTATTATGTTACTGCAGTAAATGACAGGGCCCATATTTCTAAGTTATTTAGCAAAATATAGATGTCGCACACTCACCTTAGAAGTAAAACTTGGTCGGTTTAAGTTCTAAAATCTCCCTTACATCAGTGTATATGTAACTATTGTAATTCTTCTAATGTTGAGGACGAGGCGCATTTTCTTATCGCCTGCAATCTATATTCTGAGTTATAAACTCCACTTTTGAATCTCGCAATTGCTGAAAATCCAAATTTCAGCCAACTATCCATTTCAAATCAAACCACATTTATCATGCAGCACGGCGATTTATAGAGTTACGTAACTGCACTTGTTACAACTATGTTTAAACGTACATTATTCACCACTCCTACATCAATTGATATTTTATCTTGACTTTTTTTATCTGTATGTAAGTATTTAGCACTCATATAGTGCTTTTGTCATATATTGAACTTAATGACAGTTGTGTCTCATAGGACCTAGCTGGCTGGGCGACTGTTACTTGGATGTATACCAATCATGTATTGCTAGACCAGAATAAACTTCTTATTCTTCTTCTTCATCTTCTTCTTTTGGGGCGGTGGGGTAGCCTAATGGTTAAAGCGTTGGCTCGTCACGCCGAAGACCCGGGTTCGAATCCCCACATGGGTACAATGTGTGAAGCCCATTTCTGGTGTCCTCCGCCGTGATGTTGCTGGAATATTGCTGAAAGCGGCGTAAAACCAAACTCAGTCAGTCTTCTTCTTTTTACCTGTTCCAATTACTAAACAAACAACTGCCTTAAGATGTGTAAACAACTGAGTGAATGAGTTTAGTTTAACGCCGCACTCAGCAATATTCCAGCTATATGGTGGCGGTAAATAAATAATCGTGTCTGGACCAGACAATCCAGTGATCAACAGCATGAGGATCGATCTGCGCAATTGGGAACCGATGACATGTGTCAACCAATCGAGTGTAAACAACTGCCTTAACATATGTAAACATATACTGGCAGTACAACGGTCCACCGGAATCACCCGAAGAAGAAGCACACCACGGTCGTAATTTACTAAACCTAAACATATGTTTAGGCGCCGAAATATTATCGTAAAATAGTTTAATTAATTTCAATAATAATGTCAGCATCCACTCATGGACATGTTTGCTATTTATATATATTTTATGCTTTTTAGTGTAAGAACGTGAATGTGTGTGTTAGTGTAGGTTCGTGCGCGTGTGTATGTGTGTGTGGGTGCACGCGCGTGTGTGTATGTATGCGTGGGATGGTGTTTGTGTACATGTATATGTCTGGGCTTGCGTGTGTGTATGTGTGGGTGTGATTTTGTTACCAATGTTTTTATACAGCTGTGATATTATCTGTGTCTCATAGGCCATATTGTGATAATGTAAAGTCTCTTCTAAAGAATTGCGGCATTAATAGACTACATTTCTTCTTCTTCTTTTTTCTTCTTCTTCTTCTTCTTGTTCTTCTGTAAATGGGTTGCTGAAGAGGCTCCTGTAAGAGGTGACTAACGGGATCGGGTGGTCAGGCTCGCTGATGTGGTTGACACATGTCATCGTATCCCAGTTGCGTAGATCGATGCTCATGCTGCCCATCACTGGATTGTCTGGTCCAGACTCGGTTATTTACAGACCGCCGCCATATAACTGGAATATTGCTGAGTGCGGCGTAAAACAACAAACCAAACCAATGTATCACTGTGAATGAGAAGTGTCCATGGTTTAATAAGAGACAAATATAATCTGATAGTTACTCCGTAAATTCATGACACATGATGTACTTCCGTTCAATGTGTTTGTATGAGAGATTGTATGGCAAAGTGTCCGTCCTTTGGAAGTCTTCCACCATTCTTAGAAATAATGACACAATCATCATTTGTCAAACACGGGACAAATTTATTCATCTAATAAAACGCCTGTAGTTTAACAGCCAGAATGGGAAGCGTTCCAGTCAGTGTAGCTGGACACCTTGATGTAGACACCTGGATAGCGAGCTAGACCACAGCCGACACCGTAGGACACTACCCCGGCCAGAACTTGTCGACCCTTATGCTGGCAGTACAACGGACCGCCAGAGTCACCCTGAAAAAAAATGAGTGAGTGAGTTTAGTTTTACGCCGCATTTAGCAATATTCCAGCAATATCACGGCGGGGGACACCAGAAATGGGCTTCACATATTGTACCCATGTGGGGAATCGAACCCGGGTCTTCGGCGTGACGAACGAACGCTTTAGCGACTACGCTACCCCACCGCCCCCCCTGAAGAAGACCCACATCACGGTCGTAATGTATTAAACGTAACAATCGCTGCCTTGGTTGTTTGATAGGCTTCTTTAGAAGTTGGGCAACAACAAAGTAGCAACTGTATGGATTTCTTCTTTGATACCTGTAAGGGCACGTTTCGGTATAAACCCTTATAATGTTATCAAGCTTGTTACAGAAGTTGTACAGTTGCTGCTTTGTGAGCATTTACCTATACTGGGCAAAATAAGTTAGGGATATTGGTATTTCTATGATTGATAGTTTATCAAC